CGCGCGGTATGAAACGCACCGCTGCTTCGAGGTTGCGTGTGCGTGCGGCGCAGTGACGGGGAGGTGGGTCGGGGACGTGTTACTCTTGAGCGCAGCGTTTCGCCAAGCAGTCTCGCGGATAGGAGACGACGCCGCCATTCGCGTGCAGATTGCGTTTATCACCGTGGCAGAAGGAAATGGGCTTCGTCGTTTTCTTTATTTGCTCGTGGTACAATATCTTAGGATTATCTTCCCTTGAGGTCGACGGCTGGCCCAGAGTTCACGCCGCTGGTGTCGCTGAGCACCCTGGGTTCGAATCCAGCCAGCCAGTCATCTGTGATTATAAACCGGGTTTCTCACGTGTAGTGAGTTGATGCTCTCAGCCCCGTCACCAATGTTTGCACGAAAAACATCACATTAAGTTTGGTTATACACTTGATTTGGTTAAATTCCATCCCTGAGAATTAGAATAATAATATTGCTTTGAATGTCATGTAATGCACGTTCCCGTCTGTGATGGAGCTGGTGGGAGAGTATTGCACACTTGTATTGACCAGACGTCACTTGAAGGGAACTCAGTTGTACCTCTGTGATATCCGCTTTCTAACACGATGGGTTGCACTTCTCTGCGAATTATCGGAATGGATACTCCGTCTCATGGCACTCTGTGGACAGTAAAATCGAAATAAAATCGGGTGGGGGGGGGGGTGTGGTGAAATTATGAATAAAAAATATATGTTTCCTCTTCTGATAAGGGTTTCGTTTTTTGTAAAGAGTCTGTGGCTGTCGACCTGAGCAACCCTTTTGTGGGAGGTCACGTCATGTAGCCTTGTGACGGCATGATACACACCTGCTTATAGGATCTTTATTTATGACTTTGAATCAAAGATCTTCCACCAGGTTCGTGTTCTTTCGAGCCCGGCTCTTCACGAAGAAAGAAAGATTCATGTAACTACATAGAGCTTTTGATAGAACATTTGTGGGTGGTTTGCTATTTAGAATATTACACACGCAGATGGCTGGCTGCACCTGCCAGTGATGTCGCATGGTCTTAGCATTATTGCAGCAGTAGACGAAGCCTTAAAATACGCTGCCAAGCTTAGCAGTGTTCATTAAGACGCTGTCTTTCTGACAGCTTTGTTCTTCACCTGAGGACGGCTGCTTGCGTTGTGGCCGAAACGTCGTGAGAATTTGATTATGTTTTATTATTTTATTATTTTCCTTCTACATGACTTAACCGAAGGAACCAAGAATTTGAATCCCTGCAGTCACGACAGCTTTAAATCGAAATTTAAGACGAAGCGTTATTAATAATCCCTACATAAACCACTTTCATTGTTTTTTATCTCCATTTACCTTCAATAAATGTCCAAGCTTTGCACTGTTTGCCATGTTTGAAAAGCAGCAATTTCAATGCGCGCAAAGACTGCAGTATTGTCTCTTAAGACATGCATCAGAAACGTTGACGAATAAAATGGTACAAAATCTGAGAATTGCGCAAAGCATGGAGAAATGCATGCTTGGATTCACATTGGAGCAAGAAAGAGGAACGCGTGGATTAGAGAACTAATGCAAGCTGGAAATTGTGTTGATTTAAAGAAATGGGGTTTTAGGCATGACACTTCGCTAGAATGGATGATGGTCAAATCAAGTTTTATTTATATATCCAGATCTGAAATCAAGACAACTGAAAGCTCCCCCCTCCCCAGATAAGGAGCGATGATCCCAGCTAATGTGAGGGTGCTGCTAGATGTATCGTTAATATTGCAGGCCTTCTCAGAGATGGCAATGGCTTGTGGGGGGGAGGCCTTCATTCGGAAAGTGGATGGGACATGGCTGCTGATGCCCAAGACGAAAATGTTCCCCGGTTGCAGTCTTAGAAATAATTCTACCGGCTTATTGCAAACTCTTTGTTGCACAGGCTAAATACGCTAACAACCATGACACAAATAATTGTGCCCACCCCTCCCCCCCCGAAGTAGACTCCTTGTTGGTCATAACCCTTCCATACCTGCCCTGGGTCAGGTGCGGTTTGCCCCAGACTTGTTCTGCCTACGAAGCTGCCCCACCACCACCACCACACAGCCCTGTGGTTTATATTTAACCGACATCTCAAGCTGTGGGCTGCATGCTGCAGAGAGAGGGAGAGAGGCTTTTCATCAGCGTGGTGACACTTGTTCATGTGAACCGATCAGCTTGCACGCCCTGCTTGTTCTTATTGTAGGGGAGTGTTTGTTCTCGTAGTTATTGACACTCATTGTTGGTTTGTTGCTCATTGGGGTCTTTGTTTATGAGAATTTCGAAGTTTGTAAACTTTTGAACGGTTTGCACCTCCTCCATTGCTTTATGTTCGGTGTTAGCGGTGCAGGCAACGACGACACGTAAATTAATATTAGAAACAACACGAAACATCCTATCACCACCCCCACCCACCGGATCGGAGAGTAGACTGTTGGGTCAAGTGCTGGGTCAAGTGCTGTTTGCAAGCATCTGTTAAGATGTTTCCTGTTCGTGTTTTTGTTTTGTTGCGGTTGCACCCGAGTCAAGAGCCGCATGGCTCACAGGGCTCTACCTAAGACATGAAACTGAAGGCCGGCATGGCAAATGACCAGAGTGGTGTGGCCAGTACCACGTCCGGGGGGGGGGGGGGGGGGGTTCCTTTGTCTCCCCAGTGGTGATGTTTGCGCACTGCTCTAGAGGTACTCGAATCATTTAAGGCACATTTCACGGTTGCTAACCACTAGTGGTGGTGCCAGTGGCTAGCTAACTCCGCGATGGACCAGGCGGCCTGTGTTTGATACCCGGTCAAAGCGAACATCAGTGATGAGTTATATCTAAACCGTCGCGGGCCTCCCTAGGGTAACAACAGCCTTAATTCGTACCTGGTGCGGTCCCCAACAGCATTTGACGCTGCTGTCTGTGTAGGTTGTATGCGGGGGTCTTTGCAAGCACGCACACTTCCATGCTTATGAAACTCACGATAAATACTTTGTATTTTAGGGCGATGTGTTCAATTTACTGCATTGACATATAATTGCACACGAACCCAGGTTCTAGGTTTAGCCTTGTTAATATTGCCACTGCCTGTACATGCAGCACTGTGCTTACAAGCACGTGTGTGTGTGTGTGTTCCAGAGCAGTGGCGGTATGGTAGTCAGCATGCTGCAATTCAATGCCACATATACGGGTTCAATTGTCATCCGTGACCACCAATGGCACGTCATCTAATATCCAATCCTAAGCATCTTTCTCCCTATAAATTAACTCGGCCACAATGAATTCCTGGCGTACCGGATATATACTGAATAAGCAATAGGTATACAAAATGACATCACTTGGCGCTTGCTACAACCCCACCTCGTGTGTACACAGGGCTTACTAAACTAAAAACCTACATTCTAGATTTGAAGTTTTCGTGACTGCAGGGATTTATACTCTTTGGTTCTTTCGGTAAAGTTACGTAGGTATAAAATAACATAAAATAAATTCAATCACGACGTTTCGATTGCAACACAAGCAAACCACAGCAAGAACATTTTTTGCTGTGGTTTTCCCAAAACTCTGATGATGATTGCTTGTGTTGCAATCGAAACGTCGTGATTTAATATATTCTATGTTATTTTATACCTACGTGACTTTACCGAAACAACCAAAGAGTATAAAAACCGATATTTTTTATTTTACCAGGTAAGGCCCACTGAGCTCTGTAGCTCTTTTTCAGAAGTGACCTGGCCACGAATGATAGCTCAACAAAAGTGGCTTATCGCGTCCAAAATTTATACTCTTAAACGCGTGTTTCTAAATGTGAAGGGAAAAACTTGACTCAAAGAAAAAAAATCCACGTGACCACGGGGAGAGCATTCGAACTCCAAATATACAGGTGTCAGGGTCGGGATCGAACCCACGAACTCCTGCATACCAGCCGAGGTAGTTAATATCTCGCCACCGTGGCACCCCGCTTAACATATGCTCACGAATGACACTGACTTACATAGTCTAGAAGGGTAAACAAGGTCTATGTGCCTTTGTATTTTCTCAGAGTGGGCAAAATCTGAGTGGTATAACGCTATTATGAGACTTAATGATAAGGCGGTGGTACCGATGACATCGTAGAGAGGTGTCGCAGTGGGAGTTGGCACTGTGCTTTTGACCTGAGCTTGATTTCCTGTCGTCGTTAACATCAGTGGCGAGTGATACCGGTTTGTAATGACCAACATAGTGAAGTATGGTCAGACAAATCCTATCATCCACACAGCATGGGGAGGCCTTCCTCTCTCAATGGGTTGAAAAAGGCTGTTTATTATTAACATTTTTAATAACGGTGGCGCGTTTATTTCTGTTTGCACACCAGTGCCAATACAATTAATTTATTAAATTAAATAGTTTTCGTGAGCATGTGCACGTTTACGTCTGTATGTGTGCGTGCATGTGCGAGTGTGTGCACTCAAATGTCTGTGTGTTTGTGTGCGTGCGCGTGCATACGCTTTTGTGTGTGCGTGCGTGGGAAGCAGTGGTGCAGCGGTTAGCACACCGCGCTACGAACCCGGCGACCCGAGTTTGGTTCCCGCTCAGGGCCAACACCAGTGATGATATCTGAACCGGTCCTGGGCCCCCATAGTTCGACTCGGCCTCATATGAGTACCTGGTGCGATGTTTCAACATCGCTGCTATGGAGGCAAAGGCAGCCGGGCGTGGTGCTGACCACCCACCCCTCGTGCGCTGTTTCAGCCTTCGTAGGTGCTCGCGAACAGCATTTGCCCCAACGGTCTGTTAAGGCTACATGCGGGATCTTTGTGTGTGTGTGTGTGTGTGCGCGCGCGTGCGTACGATCCCCGCAGTTGAGGTGCTGGTGGAGTTCGACTACGAGGCCCAGGCGGATGACGAGCTGACCCTGCACGTGGGCGACATCGTCACCGCCGTGCGCAAGGACAGCGGAGGCTGGTGGGAGGGCGACCTTCACGGCCGCCGCGGCGTCTTTCCGGACAACTTCGTCAAGGTGGCGGCACTCACCGGCAGGCGGGCGAGTGAGGCATGACGTCCCCAGACGTGTGACATCGCTGGCGTTCGTACGCGGGCAGTGCTGGCGGTCTTACTGTATGAGGCAGGAGGGTTGTCGGGGGGGTGGGGGCAGGTCTTTAACTTTCTGTCCATGTCCCTCATTGTTCTGCTGCTGCTGACTCCGATAATTTGGCCACAATTTCTACTCGCAGTCAGGATGTGTGCGGTATCCGCTTGGTAAGTCGCGTGACATGCAGGGCACGGTAGCAGGACTGGTGCAGTCGTCACAATCAGGCCCTTTGCAGTCTCCAAATCAGCGTTTACGTGTATTTTTATTATTTTCATCAATCGTATTTGTTTTCATCCTGCGTGGACCTTGGTCTCCGATGAGTCTCTCATCGTTTAGAGAAAGTTTCGGAAATTGCTTTCGGTCTTTGGGAAGCCCTGGTTGGGGAAGTAAATGAGCACATAAAAAAAAATCTCTTTTAATCGCACAATTTATTTGTTATCTTGGGAACCGTTAATTTGCGCCTGCCACAGTACTGTTAGTCCATCGCATACCAGACGTCGCTATTCCAGTAACCCCCACGCGTCACTCCGGTTTGATCTCGCAAAGGGCTTTTAAAACGAATGTAGTGACTCCCACCGCTTGGCGGACCCACAATGTAACCCGTCGTTCCTTCCCCTCCTGCAAATAAACTGGACCCATGGCACGAAGGCCAATTCCTCGGCACTCTCCAAGCGCCTCTCAAACGTAAAGGTGACGGTGCCTGCGCGTGTTTTGTCCCGCGCCTCCTGCTGCTGGTGGTGGTTTTAAAGACCCCCGCTTGAGAGCATTCTAAAGATTGCCTCTAGTGCAGTGGTTCTTGACCTTTACTGCAGTCTTGCACCTCTTGGCTTCTCAATCGTAAAGAAAAATGTAGAATATTAATAAATACGTAGGTTTGATGAAACAAAGTAAGTTGTACTTACGTGCCCGTGCTTAATTTGTGTTTGGATGATTTACCTATATAAAACAAAAATCTGGCCGTGTCTCGCACCCCCAGAAAGGGCATCTCTCACCCCCAGGGGATGCGTGCACCCCAGGTTAAAAACCACCACCGCTCTAGAGGGTTGTTTTGCTCCTAGCTTTCTACACTGTACCAATTAGTATGTCTGGGATGGACTCAAGCCAGGGGGATTTAAGAAACGTCCACGACTTTGTCTTCGACCGCCGCGATGTCCCGCACCTCCGACTCGCACGGTTTACTGCGTATGGTGTGAAAGAAGTTCAACGTACAGACACACATGCGGGTGATTGAACCGGCGACCTCTGTATTGCAGGTCTAGCGTGCTCGCCATTGTACCATGGCAGCATGTAGAGACTGGACTAACCATTTATATGAGTAATGCATTGCCCTACCCACCATCGACCATTCGGAAAAAAAAACTAAAAAGGGCGGGTTGGGGGGAGAAAAAAAGTTTCACCTCTGTTTTACAAGTGTGACGTTGGACGAGAGATGTGATGGGCGAAACCCGCCGTTATCATCGGCCGATTGCTCCAACTGCCAATAAACGACAAAATCCGGCGACCGCTGCCACGGTTTTCTATCGGCCCATGTGACTCATTAACATAAATTAAAAAAAACCCACCTTTGGCCGTCGAACGCTCGTGACTGCCTTGCTCCACACAGCCAGCTCGGCGCTCCACCCTTCCTCATTCCCGCCGCTGCTGCCGACAGACTGGTTCCCCCGCCTTTCCCGTGGAGTGCAAGCGGCCGCGAGGCGGGAAGGGAATGCCACCGGAGCCCTCGTTCTCCGGGAGAGGGTCCTTATCTCTGGGCGTTTGCTCGTGAGGTTTCCGACGCTAGCCCGGGCCGCTCGAATCGGAGGTGGCGTTTGTGCGTCCGGCCGTTCCGCCGCTGTGGCTGTAGTTTGCCGCCGCCGCCTCGTCGCAGCAGACATGAGTGAAAACGGAGCGAGCGATGTAAAGGTGAGTGAAGCCGTGTTCAGCCGATTTAGAGAGGGTTTGTGTGTGCGCCCCACCGGGGACTCAAATGAGCACCTGGTGCGGTGTGTAAACATCTCCACTGGGGTGACAAAGTTCGGACGGGCGTGGTGCTGGTCACCTATCTCCTTCTGCGCCGTGTCGGCCATCATAGGCACTCACTAACAGCACTTTCCCCAACGGAGAATGCCTTGGTCTTTTATGTGCACGACCTAGCCTCAAATGTATGTAGGGTCCATTCATTTGGTAGGTACGCAAAAATCTGTCAAAACTTGACCCCTGCCCCCCTCCCTGTACGCACACGTACTTTTTACACCTCCCCCCTACCTGCGTACGCACGCTTGACGCACCCCCCCCCCCCTCCCCCCGAATGCTATAGAACTGCCGATATTTAATCCACGCAGAAACGGTCAAGGATTAATAATATTAATGTGTTTAAGCAAACAGTCCACCGCCCGGACTATCTAACTAATTTGAAGGCTAATGTAGACAAATTATTATCGAGGCTTCACCCCCCCCCCCCCCGTTTCCTATGCGTACGTACATTGTCAGTAGAACCCTCATACGCAAGCGTATGCATTTGGGTTACCCCCCCCCCCCAGACTCCCACCTCCATGCGTACGTACTAAATGGATGGCCTCGTACCTGGTGCGGTGTATAAACATCGCCACTGGGGTGACAACGTTTGGGCGGTCGTGGTGCTGGCCACCCACCAGCTCGTGGGCCGCGTTCCTGCCTTCATGGGTGCTACTCTCCAACAGCACTCGCCCCTAAAGTCTGTTGAAGGGTACGGGAGGGGGGGGGGTGTGGCCGGGGGGAGATCTTTGTTTGGTGTGGAGAATGGTGGCACAGTGTTGTGCGAAAGGGTTTCGTGCGTTTTGTCAAGAGAGCGGTGACCCAGCGTCACCACTTTCCGTCGTGTTTTCACACTGCGTGTTTGTGCGACCATCACGACGAACAACTCGCATTGTGCCCAGCAGCATGCAGTGGAACCCGAGCCGCACGCACCTACGTAGTCGTCGGCACAGTGGTTTTTGTGGGCTCCCAGCATTTCGTAACGCAGAGGTTTTCGTGGGTGTGGTGGGGGAGTGGTGGCGCATGGTTTATTGGCTCGTATGTTTCACAATGTAGAGCGGTTTTCGTGCGTGGTGGCGAGTAGTGGCACATTACTACCTGGGTTTGTTTCCCCAACCATGGGTCACATCGGTTGCAAAGTGATATCTGGACTGTTCTGGGCCTCCGTTAGGTTGACTCGGCCTTCAATGAGTAGCTGTTGAAATGTGTAATTATCGAGGCAGTGGTGGCGGCCACACCACACATTTGTGTTCTATACCGATTTTAATAGGTAGTTTCGAGCAGCACTGTCACCAACAGCCTCGGTGGAAATGCCGTGAGTGAGCTTCGTGTCCAGAGTTGGTTGGTGGGTGTGTGTCAGAGTTGCACGTTTTCAGAATAAAATGAATTGTTATGGATTTGTCTTGGTTTAACCTTATTTTTTAAATATACTTAGAATTACTCGTTGGTTCTTTCGGTAAAGTCACGTAGAAATAAATTTATTTAAATAATAATAGAATGCGACGTTTCGATTGCAACACAAGCAACCATCATCAGGTACAAATGAATGAGAAACCAAACCATAGTAAACTTGGAAATATAATGCAATACAACACAGAGAGTCGGCCAACAAAACAGTCAACACCCCACCTGGTTGATTACGTTCTTCCAAAGATTTCTAAATTTGAGAGAGAGACACAACATAGACCCGGAGATACACAGACAGACACAAGCAGAGAGAGACTCGCACAGAGACAAACAGAGAGAGAGATGCACACATAGACACACAGAAAGACAACGTCTCTGTGTCGAGGCCTAAAATAGAGAGAGGGGGGGGCGGTTGGGGCAGAGGGGGAGTTGTGTGGAATTCCTGCCCATAAGGGACGGACGAGCTGGATACTGGACTTCTAAAGAAACAAGCACGGTAGAAAGCAAATTTAATAAAATTAGGAAGTGTAATGCAATGCAACACAGAGTCGGTTAGCACCAAGTTAACGCATAGCCTGGTTGAGTACGTTCCTCATAATATCGCTAAATCAGAAGTTGAGAGACGTTGTCTTTCTGTGTTCCTATGTGTCTCTCTCTGCTTGTGTGTCTGTCTGTGTGTCTCCATGTCTATGTTTTGTCTTTCTCTCAAATTTAGCAATCTTTGGAAGACCGTAATTAACCAGGTGGGGTGTTGACTCTTTTGTTGGCCGACTCTGCAATCGAAACGTCGTATTCTGTTATTTAATTTTATTTATTTCTACGTGACTTTACCGAAAGAACCAAAGAGTAATTCCTGCAGTCACGAAAGCTTCGAAATATTTAGAATTACGAAGGGTTTTCGTAAAATTAAAGAATAGTTTAATTATGTTATATACCCTGTTACATTATGAAACCAACGTGTATACATTTACATATTTTAATTAGCAGTAAAGTTTCATGCACAGTGTTTAGAAGTGTGAACGAATTTCGATTTCCTTAATGTTAATTTCAATTATTTAGAGACGTCGTACTCCGTGTTCTGCGGTTTGAAACGGCCCGCGCCTGCGAACGTTTCTTGACTACATCGATTTTCCAATGATGTTATTATAGACCCAAGGGTCACATCCGTAAAGTTAGTTATTTTACCGACTGCCGCAGAAACGTTAAATCACAGCTCCGTTGCTTTGGTTACGCGAATTCCTCTTAGTCCAGCGTCAGAATTTCTTCAGCAAAAATAATTTTCTTTGAAAGCTCCCCCGCGCTGCAGACGGTATCAGCGGTGCCACACGTATCACATTACGGGGATGTCCTCACCACGCAGGGAAGGGGGATTTATTTTTTGGAAATCATCCAGCGAGGCAGAACTTGACCACATTATTTTTATTGACTGCCGGTGTTTCGTCAGCCGAGGCAGCAGCAGCAGCAGCAGCCGGGGTAAACATCGTCACGTCTTGGGAAACCTTGACTTCTGCAGGGCGGATGCAATTTGAGTTCAGCGCTGCAAGCCAGTAGGGGAGAGAATGCATTATTTTCAAAGAGTTAGTCGTTTCCGTCTTGTGCACGTTAGAGAGTTGTTTCTCGCCTGGTACATGATCACGTGTGCCGGACGTACGCACTGTCTTCATTAAGACGCGTTCGTATGAAGACTCTTTATAAAACCGAGCGTATCATTACCTGCGGTCTATCCACTGTTTTGATGAATGCCTTCCCACCCAATCGTCATCCTTTTATGCTTCTGCAATCTCACAATCCATCGCTGTCCTGTGCAAGAAACTGACCTCATTCTTACATCTCCATGGTGCCGTCCTCTTCCTTGCAATCTCTCCTTTGGCGGCGATTTCGTCGCCAGTCTTCTCCATCCACACGCCATTCCGTCCAGCGAGGTATATATTCTGCCCGAGTCCCGCTTAAATTCCCTAAGCCATTACGGCTTCTCCCATTAGCGTTTGTTTTCCGATGCGTGCAATCCTCTTTCCGAGCTCACTCGGTGTAATATTTGAAATCGTAACATCTAAATTGCGCCGCTTTTGTGCTCGCATTTGCCAACGCTGCCGATGAGGCCTCCATTGCCAGGGAGGGAGGGATGTGAGAATATCGCTATGATCCCCTGTCACTGGCAGCGGGAACAAACAGGAATAAATCAATGAGTCCGGCTGAAGACTCGAAGGCATTCCACACACGTCGCCGGCTAATTGCGAGGTTTGGCACCACAATGCCAGGAAAGTGGTGCGCACTCTTTGCCGCTGCCGCACCCGCCCACGTACACAACATTTCTTCGAAGCAGCGGCGACTTGGTAAACAGGCTCCACTGGCGTCAACGCTGTAAAAAAACACATTGTGGGCACTTTTTTTTTATAGTACGCACGTTTTGCAATGGTGTTACTTATTATTCTCGTAGGGTCATGAGTTGATCTTCATGCGATGCTCATCGTCCACCCTGAAACCGTATCCGCACAAACCATGGCAGATGCAGATACCTGATGCACAAATGGAAAATTAAAAACTCTCCAGTGTGTGACTGGTCATCCAGAACAGAAGACCGTACAATGCATAACGACGCAATACCCGATCCACATATACGAAGGAGACATTACAGCGATACACCGCTACTCCTGACGTGGTTGTCTGGCTTGACCACCTGAATGTGAAATTGTAGTTTTTTTTTGCTCTGCATCTACATCAGCCGTACGAAAGAAGACGACGAAGTTGATCAGTCACGTTTTTACGTCCATCTTGAGGTTGGTGAGTGAGCCAGTGGATGGCTTTACAAGTGTGCTGGTGAACATCTGAAATGCTGTCAACGAATCATGGAAACGGGCACTCTTGTGCAATGTAGTCCATGGTTTGAGGTTGGTGACCATCGCATTGTGTGCCATTCTTACTTTTCTATAGGTGCAGAAGAAAGTCGTGTCTGCTGTGTGATGTTTTAATGTGATTCAATACAGTGTTGGTGAAATAGTTTCTCAATTTAGCTTTCCCGATTTAACCGAATTTTTTTTTAGGGTGGGACAGTGGTGCAACAGTTAACTCGGTACGCTATGAACAACGACCACCCAAGTTCCATTCCTGGCCATGACTCATGTCAGTGGTTGAGTGCAATCTGTGCTGGTCCTGAGCTCGCCCGCCTTTATTTACTCCCAAAAAACTATTTTTTATATTACCACGTAGGGTCCACTGAGCTTTGTAGCTTTTTCAGAAGCGACGTGGCCACAAATGAGAGCTCAACGAAGTGGGATTTTAACGTGGAAAATTTATAGCAGCCAAATATTCTGAACGCATGATTCTAAATGTGGAGGGAAAAACCCGAGGACCCGGAGAAAAAATTCATACGACCACGGAGAGAATGCCTAAACTCCAAATATACAGGCATCAGGGTTCAGATCAAACCCAAGACCTGCTGCATACCGGCAAGGTAGTTAACATCTCGCCATCGTGGTGGTGCCCTATCAACTCGTACTGACCGG